AACGAGAAGAAACTTCGATTTTTTTTTTCTTGAATGTAGACATTTACCTTAACATAACAAATGCTTAACAACTGAAATAAATGATTTACAAACTAATATTTACTCGAAAACATTTTCCTAAGCTACTTAGTATTATATTTCTACAACTTACTATAGTAACATCGATAAATTATTTTTATCACTAGTTAGTTGGAAAACACTTTCTTTTTTAACTAAGCTTTAAAACAGACTGAATAAGTATATATTCAAGTAAGTGAAAATTAGTCATTAAAAACATTTCGTGATTTACAATGTATAAGGTAAACGTTTTCGCTTTCGGCTGAATTCCTACAATGATCCACTATTTCTCTCTCTGTTTAGTACACAACCGTCCACAGATATATCCACTAGATTATATACCTACACTTATTAATGACATTTCAATCAATTTTTTAGTAACATTATTTATTTTATAATACTAAGGCTGTAGTGTTGATGTGTAGGCGTGTATAAATGTACTGCTTACATAGATACATTTACATCTGCCTGTATATTATTCACTACGCTATAAGTGAGCTACTATTGTGTATGTTACGTTATTACACTGTTAGCATCATAAAGTGTTTTTGTAGCATGAAAATTATTCCTATTTCTTTTTTGTAGGAGACTTTTTGGTTTAGCAACCATCAGCTGAATACATTTAAAATATCACTGAAAAAAAGAAAACAATCAAATAGCTGCTTTGTTTTAGCTTAGAATTCATCAGGAGTGCATCCACACGATCATGATAATCATTATATTTCTGAACACTGACTGTGAATTAAGTGGTGTAAATTTTTCTAACATTCTGTCTGTTTGCGCTTGCTCACTAAAGTTTGCAGACAGAAAAAAATTCTTTAGTCCTCTGTGTTTTTCAACAGTTCTTCAAAAAATATAAATTTGTGGTGGAAAGTATCCGAAACGTTACAAAAGTATCCACAAAATTATGTATATATCACAACATATTTAAGCATAAACATTTATTGTTAACATAATGTTTAAAAAGCCTATCTCCCCAAATTTTAAAATTTAGAATATATTTCACTAAAACAACCGAATAAATCTTTTAATGTGTCTAAATGACTGACCAACTACTTATCTATTTGTTTATTTATCTCTTTGTGTCAAATGTCTTATGGAATAAAATAGTCATATATTTACTTTAGTCTCAATGCATGTTTCATTACAAAATGGTTTAGGTCACAATTGTTACCGGTATAATAATCGTTTTGATGTTAAATTAAATTATGACTGAATAGGTTCATGTTATGAATAATGTTCAGACAATCTTAATATTGACTGACAACTAACACTTTTTTATAGTACTGGTTAGTATAATTTTGATAATCATATTTGATTGAACTAAACGCCTTTGGTTTGCGAACGCAGTTTATCTGGATATTATTAAACCGTTTACAGAATGTTTTATAATGGACCCCGCTTGTGAAGATTCTGAGTTCGAGTCCCGTGTACTGGGTCGTAGGTGTGCACTACTAGGATGAACCGGCCATCCAGTGCTTCCTGGTTTTCAATTATTGTCTAACATTGATCGACTCATTATTTCACTAATATATGTATAAACTACTTGGAGTAACATTACAGTCGACTTCCAGAAGAGATTTAGAGCACCTTAAATTTTGTTAAGCATTATAAGTGTGCGCACTTTCATTAACATCAAGGCCGTATATAAGCTGACAACAAAGTCCATATTCACAATAAAATAATGGTATATTTGTGACATCTTAACCAGTAGAAATTAAATTTTCTACCGTTTCTTAATTTTATTTAGGTCGCTTCTTCAGAGTAAATTAATAAAGTTTAAAAAGCCATATTGATTGGTATACGATTAATCTTTATTCTTTATTGTATGCCTTCAATCCTATTTACATGTAAGTAAATATGTTATAGAGATCAGTCTTTTGTGAATGAAAATAACCAAAAATCTCATACAGTGACTTAAGTCCCATTCACTATATAGTATATAGCTGTGTCATCTGGCGTGGTTAATCATATATCTTCTTAACTAACAATTTTTTACAACGTTCTTCTACTCACATTACAAATAGTGTTAATATTTTCAAATATCATGCTGCTCAGGAGTAGTTTCATCTATGTACTTATATTTTCATTAGTTATTTTGTGCTTTCCAATTGCTTAAAATTAGTTGCTTGATTTATAACTATTATTTAGGTATAATTAACTTTTTCTATTCATGAATGAGTCATTCGTTGTTGAGATGCTGAAGAAAGAACAAGAAATTTATGTAATAAGTTTATAGATCTGTAAATACTCACTTTTATCAATGCTACCGTTTATTTTATTTCAGTATAACTCAAAATCAACTTCTATTATGTTACGATCGTATGTCAATTAAGGCGTTTTATCAGTGACATTGCTTGATAAGATAAATATTTAGTTAACTCAGTCACTAAAGGATTATATATTTTCATGGTTTAAGTAACAAATACACATTAACTAGATCAATATTGGAAACGCGGCGGGACTGGATGGTTATTTTATCTTACTATGAAGCTCCTCATGAGTGAGGATTTGTGGTCCCATATGCAGGAATTGAACCTAGGAACTTTTATATCACGTGCAAGCGCTTAACCTGTAAATCACTGAGCCAAAATCCAACGGTTTACATGTTTAATTGCGAGACAGAAGGTCCTGAATTCGATTTATGTATGCGAAGTCGTGAATGCTCACTGACGAGATGTCTCATACAGTGACGAAACTGTTTTCCCGTCTCACCATGTTTTCAATGTTGGTCTGACTGAGATCAACTCGTGATTTAAACTATGAAAATTTCACGATTTCTACAAACCCAACCATACCAATGATTACATAGTGATTAAAGTTGATATGATACTAACTAGAAGCAAAGATTATTGGGAAATGTCTATACATACATTATAAAGAAAAACTGTGCAAAATCGTCTAACTACCCTCCCGTTCTATAACACAAAGATCCTCATAATTTTACCGACAAAATCGATTCCATAATTTAATTTCATATTTAATTTTTTATGTTTTCTAGTTTATAGCATCAGATCAGATAATTTCTACATTTCGTACAACATTTAACATCTGGATCTAATCAAAAGCCAGCGTAGGAGTGTATTAGTCTATCCTAAAATCATCTGTAGATAATTTCTAAAACGTGAATTAAAAACCAGTCAATTAAGACATTTTTCGTATACATTTAGCTTTGTCACTGAGTTGTCCCGAGATATTCTTTTCTACTTATTAACATGATCCTTATTAAAAAAACTATTATTAGACTGATGAATGTTCGATCGTCTAATCACGAATAAAACTTTATGCCTAACTGATTTATCTGAATATTTATGCATAATTAGAATCACTTAGAATCACGTTTCACTTTATTCATCTAACTTGGTAAAACTGTATTACAATCTGATTTAATACTGAAAATATTGCGAATACAATCCTTTTGTTAATTGAATCGGATTTAATTAAATTATATTAAATATTTATTCCACTACATGTAAACATTAGACTAAACCTACTTTGGAACACTATACATGGTTCATTTTGACCTGATTAACGATCCCATTGTTTCCATTGATGCCATTGACATTCATTTCAGAAGTTTATTTTATATATATTGAAAGCCTGGATTTTAGATGTATTCTAAGTTTCCAATGTCTGTAAAAATCAGCTTTGGAATACATATTGTCTCCAATGTTCAAATATAGGTCGATAAATAAATACATACAAGTATATTTCTTGGTATTAGCCAATTTAGATTATATTTGTATGATATACCGGTTGCTTCACATAGTATCATAAATTAGTATACCTACTTTTGTATTTATGTGGCAAGAATAAACAATTCTCTCAACAATAAATAAACACTTTTCGAAGCTGCGATTGCACTTTTGTCTGGTCCTGCAATTCATTCATAACAAGCAACCGGTATTTTTGAATTTTCAAATAGTTTACGTCACACTTTAAAATGTATTGATGATTACAAAATGCTTCATTACGTAATGGTACGGTTTACTTTGTAATAAAATGTGTGAAATAAGGAATAATGTTTAAATTGTGAAACAAGTTTTCACAACATAAAATAAATGAATTTTGTTTCAATCACATTTAGCCGTTTATTAAGATGTAGTTCATAAATAAAACACCTTAGTAAATAATGAGAAAACAAATGAATTCTGTCGATTGTAAATGTTAAACAATGGTCTAAATAAGAGATATTTCTTTCATCAATGAATGCCATAGATTAGAAAACTCATAAAGTATGGTACAAATGAGTTACAAGTTTTGAGATTTTAGGACAATGCGCTAATATAGTGTCTTACCGAAAATCAAACCATAAACTTTAGGTCGTTCGGCGACCACACACTGATCAGCTCTGTTCTTCAGCTAGTACCTATTTACTACACAAAATATCACTAGGGTATACATTTTTTGAGAGAAGAAAACTGTCAGTTCAGCAAAGCTAATAGTTAGATTGTCTAACTTCCTAAACTGTAAAGATATACATAACTAAGCTTGTAAATGCTTTCATGTTGTTGGCTTTCTTACTAGGTTAGCTTACCTGTAACTACCACAAACCAATTGCCATTTCTTAGCTTTCATTGAGGAACTATTAGTATACCACATGGGATTCTGTTATTTCTAGTAAAAACTCCAATCATCTCAGTCATAAAAATGACTAATTTTTCAGTGACTTTGCTTTAGTTTTAGTCATTAAATCTGTATAAATTCAATTCAAACAAGTACATCCATAATTGTAAGGCTGTAAAAGTGTGTCGTTCCAACTTATTTCTAATTTACATTAGTTAATTATTAAGCAACCTATTTCTGTAGGATGTTTACATTGAGCAACGATATACACTTAATTATCGTAATGTTTTATTTATTTTTATTTTTTTCATGTTTATTTCAGAATTCCCAAGTTTCTCTTCATCAGTTTTCCCTTCTCTTGTATATGGTATGAAAATATGAAAACTTTGGGATTATATCATTGCATTATTCAATATTTCAATAAAAACAGAAACTATTCTATTACTAATAATAAGATGTGTATTTATTTTAATTTAAATCTTATTTTATTATTATTTTTAATTACTTTTAATTTATTATCAAATTCTTTTTTATCATTATGTTCTAATTTACCTAAATCAACAAAATTAACAACTTCTTTGAATACTTTGAATCAATTTAAACATTGTTGTGATGATGGATTAATTGCTGCTCATAGTTTAGATTTACCAATTTTAACAAGTCAAACCAGTGTAACTAATACTGAAACATGTGCAGAGATATTACAATTTGGTACATCAGTGGTTGAAGATGTAAGTTATTTATATGTAAGAATATTTTATATAATAACTATTCAAAATAATGGTGAGACTATAATTTATGGACGACCTTTGAGCGACGTTAAAGTGACCTTGAGGGTGTTCACCTAATAACTTGGACAAAATGACGGTTATAAACCAGTATGAGGAATTAGAATTATAATTTATAGTTGATGGTTAAGGTTAGGAATTACATTTAGGGTTTTCATCACGAACTGGCATCAGCTATAATGCCAAAACTCTATTTATCCAAATAGATAGGTGAATTTCTCTCTGCAATCCGAGACCTGTTGTCTTATACCTTATTGGTTCGTCCATAAATGATAGTTTTACCTAAATAATTTATGCAATAAATATCATTGAGAATAAATATTTCGCAGTAAACGACGAGTTATTTAGTCGGAAAACGTTTTATTAATTCTTACTACTTGAGTGAAGAAAGTGGATTTATCATTTCGTCTAACATTAAATCTAAAATAGTAATCTATTTACATGAAATGCCATTGAAAAAGCGTCATTGTCACATAGTCGAACATAATTAGTTGCTAAATGTCTATATGCAACTAGTCAATCTAAATTAATTAAAACTACGTTAGTCCATGATATAAAGAACTTGTTTTTAAATCTAGCATGTTTTAGACATTCACCTGTTTAATCAAATATAGTATCTGATTATAAAATAACGATAATCAGATTCAAGTTATGGTGAAAAATCTTTTTCATGACATCGACGTGCACTTGACTCACGATATTTACAGGCTACATTTAATAAAGTTCTAAATTGTGCCAATAAACTGATCAGAGAATTTCTGTCTCAATTAGGGCATTAAATTATTAGCAATTCATTTGAAAAAAATCCGGTTGAAAATCAATTCTTTCTATTTAGCTTGACAGAGAAATTTCTCGTTATTATTCATTGAGACCACTGTCATGTTTTGTACATATCAACTGATATATATATAGTTGATTGTGCTTCTTTCATTATGCTTTCACATTCATGTAGCAAAACTTATAAGTAATAAACTTTGGATATTGATTGAAATAACTTTCTAAATACTTTCGTTGATAATAATATTAAGCTTAAGAAGAAACATAGTTATTAGAATAATAACTATTATCATTGTTAACACAATTGATTGATCACTGGGTGGTGATCAATTTCATGTACGTCAGATCCCTCTTAGTGCAGATTGAATCTTATCGAAAAAGTTGCAATGTAGACACTAGTCTAGGTGAATCAAAATTGCATGCAATATGTTGAGATAAGATGGTGGTTGGAAGTGGTCAGCAAGAAACCCTGTTTTTGACATAGAATTCGTACTATTTGGCACTGATCAGCAATGTTTACTTGTAATATTGAGGGAACTGGTACTCCCTGACGGATTGAATCCTATATCACCCAGCTCCACAGTCGGAAACGCTACCACTGATCTATCCGGGCCACGACTGATCTCCTGTATGACTGAGATGTATTTACAATTGATTGATGATCAATCTCATGTATGTCAGTTTCTTCTTAGTGCAGATCGAATCCTATCGACTAGAGTTTCCTGGTGACCACCTTCAACCACCATCTTACAATGTTATATAATATAGCATATAAGGCTAAAAGAACTTTTTCGAAAACGTTTTATCAAATATCACTGAATAGTATGTATTTGGGAATGTCACAACTTGCAAATTCATAAACTTTTTAACATAAAAGTCACTTATCGCTTGTAATCACTCGAAATGAATATCGAATGTAATATTGAATATTTTTTATAGATATAGTTTGCTTGGTCTTAAACAGTAAGACGAATTGATCAAAAACCCCTTACAATACACTTAGCTGACTTTACATATTCATTAGGTAAATTATCTAGGACTGTAGGGGAAATAAAACTTCCTAATTAATTGAGTAGCATACTAGGTATTGCTACAAGAAGAGGTAACACATCTGGCCCTGATAACGTATCTGCTATCATGTTACTTACTACTAAACTTAGTTCTCGTTATATGACTGGATATTGCCTTGTACTGTAATAGATATTCAGTAATTAGTTGTCATCAGAAAACCATGGGTTTAGTTTTAGTCCTATCAGAAATACGTTTCCGATGATGAATTTTATTTGCAAAGCTCTATAAATTACAATATGAAGTTAGTTGTAGCCTCCCTTAGCTCGGATAATAAATGACTATACATTCGTAAGTTCTCCGCAAAAGCTGTCTCATCATTTTCAGAACTACTGCTTTACAGTGTGGTCACGTATAAAGAGAAACGTTATTCACACCAAGGCAAAAAGATCTTTAGGACATCGACAGTGATAACATTCATTCTTCAGTAAACCATATCTTTTTAAAGTTATAGAGCATCAGTTCCCTCAAAATTACAAGTACACATTGTTGACCTGTGCCAAGTAGCACGAAACCTAGGTCAAAAACAGGTTTTTTGTTGTTGACTACTTCCAACACCAAATTATCATTGTTAAAGTTCAAAACAAGCTCACCAAACTGTATTCATTATCAAAATGACTATTTATTCCAAAAATTAAGATATCTAATTAAGCATAGAACTTTAGTGTGAAATTCTTTATATCCGTCATTATTTAGTAAATTATATATTTTCGAGTGATTGATACTGATCCTAAGAAAAGCGTTCATTGAACGCAACCGATAAACAATGTGTAATCCATTAATTTTAAAACTATTCTATTGTTATTTGTATTCAATAATGTCCAAATCAAAACAAATCAATCAATTTTTGTCAAAGAGCATATATCTTATTACACAATAATATGCTAAATATAGCAACTCTGCAAAATGTATTAAATACTATTACAAGGGTAATGGCTTTAAAAGTTTTCTGTCAAATGATACATTGTTTCATATTAAACAGACAACTACTGTAAATTAGATTAGATTTTCATCTGCTCTAAAACATGTTTTGTTCTACTATTTTAAAAAAATACTAAAATTAGGATGCTGAAAATTTATCTTCAAATCATTTTTGGTGTCAACGTGTTCAACATTTCTGTTGTTTATCAGCTAGAAGATTAAAAGCTTGTCAAATTGGTTCAGATCATGTTATTAAATCTAATTCAAATAATTGTTCGATTGGTGAGTTTAATCATTTACTTGACAAGAGATTAACACCAATCGCTCGGGTAAGTTAAACATGCTATTCTTAAAGTGAGAGTTCTTATATATTGATAAAATATTTAGGTGGAGTTTTATTCTCCGAGTTAGATGGTTCGGTTGTGGAGCTTTTATTGTTTTTCTGAACAATATTATTAGCACAGACTTTAGATAGAATATTATACAACTGCTGACATTGATCATCTCTTTCATAATACTGACTAGATTTCATTTGTCAGTTGATCAATCTTTATAGCTCTTAATTAAAATGAATTGGTATAAATTAGGACAAAAAGATATCCGGGTTGATCTGCTTAGTAATCACATATCCGTATACACAAAACATCGGAATACGAACTGTCGTGAGCTGATTAAAAACAAATAACTAGTTAACATTAAAATTATTCATTGTGATTGAACATACAGGATAGCTTTGCTATTATGTACTAAACTGAACATACCATGACATTTTAATGTCTCTTCAAAAATACCTAGTACTACTTCATTTGGAGTATTTTTTTAATTTTACAATCTAAGGTTGTATTTACTAATTTAATTATAAGTATATGGTTGTGGAGTTTGTTCAGTTTTAATCATGAACCGACCAATGTTAGACTACCATGCTGGATATAAGGTAGTTACTCACCGAAAACAATGGAAGGTGGTCGTGCAATATCGTGAATTGGTTCAAAATAAACATCAACACTATTGGAGGACGGATAAGTGGTTTATAGGTTAAGCGTCCACATGCGAGACCGAATATCCTGGGTTCGAATCCCATATACTAGATCGCGGATGCGCACTTTTGAGGAGATCCATACTAAGACGAACTGGCCATCCAGTGCTTACAGGTTATCAATGGTGATCTAAAATTTATCGGTTCATGATCTCAATAATTTAATTGTAGTTTATTTGAGTATTATAGAGCATTGTATGACTTGAAAATAGTGTGTATAAAGAGTATATTGGTAACTAATAACTACTTATGTAAAGAACTAGAATTATGATTTACAGTTTATGGTTAGGATTAGGAACTAGATTTTGTTGTTTTCATCACGAACTGACATCAGCTATAATGCCGAAATAGTGCTTTGCCAAATGAGTGGATGAATTTTGTGCTAAAATCCGAGACCTGTTATCTCAAATCTGATTGGTTCGTCCATAAATTATAGTGTTGTCGAATATTTAAACTATACAGTCATTAAACTAATAACTTTAAACAATCTGTTAAAGAGAAACACAGAAGTTGAATACTATCAAATAATGGTTGGACCTATGTTTGATGTACACCAATCGATTATTGAACAGAATTTCATGATTATTATATCAAAATCTGTGAAATGATTTGTGTACGACCAGACTAAAAAAATTTTCTTTAGTGTTTTTAAGGTAGTTGAATAAAGTTGAAATTTTCAGGCTATTTTTTGATCAGTTATTGGTGTTTTAGGGTTAAATTATGACATTTACTTATTTCACTCTGATATATTTATTTAAATTCATGAATAATATTAAGTTTTTATTCTCCAGGAATGTTGTCTATGCCAGTTAATATGGCGTAAAAGTTTAATAAATGAAAATAACTTATTCAAAGATAATCCAGAGTCTGTACAAAGTGTTTGCCCCAATGGAAATTGTTGTAATTTTCTTAATAAGAGTAAGTTCAGTATCTTCTAAATGGGAAACATTTCTTTGTAAACATTGAAAAAAACTACATCCTATATTACACCACTTGATTTTTGAATCATTTTGATTGATGTAATGTTCTATCATTTTTGTAATACATTTCTCATCTACATGAAGGAGGAGGAGTAAAACTTACGACCGAATTATACTGAAACTTTAGTAGGCTTGCAAAACATCTACCTAATAATCCAATGATTATAGGAACAGATTTCTTAAAGATGGCAATTGTTTTTAACATAAAGACAATCATTGTAAACTAAGACGCACAACATTTTCAACATTATCTTTTGTTCAGATCTAATATCAAATAGATAATCATTGAAATCAAAGAGCACTGGATAATTATTGCGTAGTAGTTTGAGACTCCTCAGGAATATGCATCATTTATCCAGCGTTAAAAATAAGAATCGTTATTTGCTGCTATCAGTACAATAAAACTGAACTATGAAATGAGAATACAACTACTCATATCTCCACCTGTGGCGCATATATATTGGCGCTCTCTTGTACCAATATTCATGTGTTCAAATAAATAAATAAATACCTTCATTTAGTTGGTATAGTTGCGCTACAATCATCTACGCAGACAATGATATCTCGCAAATTCTAGATGTAATTGAACTCAACCATAATATCTTCAAATAAGATAAAAGTATTGTCTACAATTCTGTTCGAATAGATTTTACTCTTATTTGAATGAAATTTAGTTATGGTGGACTAATTTAATAAATGCTCCAGAAATTATTCAATTGATTTCCTTTTGTTCCTTCATTCAAATAAATATTTAGTATTAATGGAAGGTAATACAACTTCATCCAAATCATCAATGATCATGTCTGATGATCCTAATGTTCATAGAATTATAACGGAATATTTAACTACTACTGAAGAAATTGCTATGTTGATGACCACTTCGTCTACACCAATTACAACGGAAAAATCAGTGGAAATGACTACAAGTACAACCACAACAAAAAAACAAATAATAGACGACGAAGATGACTTTTCGTTCAGTCTTGTTGGTGGCATAGATTTACCAGATATTTGGGAAGAAACAGATATTGATAATACATCACTAATCAATAAAACTATAAATAACTTTACTGCTGATCTAGTTACAGCATCTACTCCTTCTACCAATCTTCCTTCAAAAACTGATACGTCCACTGATGCCACTTCTATTATTTCTGTGGAGTCTACACCGGGGACAACGGTTACTGCCACCACGGCTACTACGTATACTCCTACCTCTGCGAGTACTTTGGCAACCAGCAACCATACCATAACCACCAAATTGTCAAACGAAACGACTCCTACTAGCTTAAAAGAAGTTAGTCAATTAGAAACTATACAATGTCAAGAAAATTTTGTTTGGGATAGCAAACAACAGTTGTGTGTTCGGCTAATGTTCTCATGTCCAGTAGGAATGTATCTTAATAAAGAAACAAGGAAGTGTGTTCTTGAATCAACAGATAAATCAGATTGTCCTATAGGTTACAAGTTATCCAGTACGCGAGATGAATGTGTAGGTAAGTAATAAGAAACTTAAAAAAGATTTGGTTTACTGGAGAATGAATGTTATCACTGTCGATGTCCTAAAGATCTTTTTGCCTTGGTGTGAATAACGTTTCTCTTTATACGTGACCACACTGTAAAGCAGTAGTTCTGAAAATGATGAGACAGCTTTTGCGGAGAACTTACGAATGTATAGTCATTTATTATCCGAGCTAAGGGAGGCTACAACTAACTTCATATTGTAATTTATAGAGCTTTGCAAATAAAATTCATCATCGGAAACGTATTTCTGATAGGACTAAAACTAAACCCATGGTTTTCTGATGACAACTAATTACTGAATATCTATTACAGTACAAGGCAATATCCAGTCATATAACGAGAACTAAGTTTAGTAGTAAGTAACATGATAGCAGATACGTTATCAGGGCCAGATGTGTTACCTCTTCTTGTAGCAATACCTAGTATGCTACTCAATTAATTAGGAAGTTTTATTTCCCCTACAGTCCTAGATAATTTACCTAATGAATATGTAAAGTCAGCTAAGTGTATTGTAAGGGGTTTTTGATCAATTCGTCTTACTGTTTAAGACCAAGCAAACTATATCTATAAAAAATATTCAATATTACATTCGATATTCATTTCGAGTGATTACAAGCGATAAGTGACTTTTATGTTAAAAAGTTTATGAATTTGCAAGTTGTGACATTCCCAAATACATACTATTCAGTGATATTTGATAAAACGTTTTCGAAAAAGTTCTTTTAGCCTTATATGCTATATTATATAACATTGTAAGATGGTGGTTGAAGGTGGTCACCAGGAAACTCTAGTCGATAGGATTCGATCTGCACTAAGAAGAAACTGACATACATGAGATTGATCATCAATCAATTGTAAATACATCTCAGTCATACAGGAGATCAGTCGTGGCCCGGATAGATCAGTGGTAGCGTTTCCGACTGTGGAGCTGGGTGATATAGGATTCAATCCGTCAGGGAGTACCAGTTCCCTCAATATTACAAGTAAACATTGCTGATCAGTGCCAAATAGTACGAATTCTATGTCAAAAACAGGGTTTCTTGCTGACCACTTCCAACCACCATCTTATCTCAACATATTGCATGCAATTTTGATTCACCTAGACTAGTGTCTACATTGCAACTTTTTCGATAAGATTCAATCTGCACTAAGAGGGATCTGACGTACATGAAATTGATCACCACCCAGTGATCAATCATTTGTACATAACATCGTGCCCGGATATTTCGTGTATAAAAATTTCCATCTTATTTACATCCGATAGTCATCAGTTAGTTAAACCGTATGTGGCTCTCAATAAATATGATAGTGTATTGAGGTTTATACATTATTTAGTTCATATATAATTATATTGATTAAGTACTTTAAAGAGTTAAATGACTCAGTCTTTAACAGAAACATTTGTTTCCTAATGTGACATTATTCAATGTTTGTAGGTGTCATTACCAAGGTTTGATTTGATAATTTCGAATAAATTGAGCATTGGGTTGATTGTTATAAATAAAAATAATATATTTGTAATATCCCAATGAGTAGAAAATTGGATTTTCTGACGTTTCGTGGCTTAGTGTAAGTCACTTCTTCAGAGAATAAATAACCAAATTAAAATTAATCCAAGTTTAAATAGTACAACGGAACAATGCAAGAATAATATTTGATCAATCAAAAAACAGGTCTGAACAAGTTGATGTCATGTCATTTCTGTCAAGGTGATTCATAAGTGATAAGTATGTAAATTTGTGTGTGTATGTATATGTGCATTGTTTAAGAATGAAAACTTATGTGACCTTTATGGTAAGAAAGGATAGAGTTTAAATTTGTAATATGAAAGTGTGAAATTGTAAATACGATCAGACTGAATGGTTAGGATAGATGGTCCAAGTAGGGTGTATGGTAAGGCCTTCTTTTCTATTGAGAGAAGTAGGATTAAGCATTATGTGGAACGCCTCAGCTACCCTCCTTTCTTTGTAGTTGGAAAAGCCTTTTTGCAATATTTTGATATTTTTAAAATCGATTTGGTGGTTGTTGAAAATGGCATGAACTGCTATTGCCGATTTAATTTGAAGTTGGTTCAATTCTACCGGATTGTTAGGAGGTTTCTTTGTGTACCTAATATGTTCTTTGGCTCTAGTCACGATTTCGCGGGATGACTCTCCAATATAATAGGCATCACAATCGATACAACCTAATTTGTAGACGCAGTTCTGTGTGGACATGAAAGGGATTTTTTCTTTCAGGCGAACTAAAGTATTACGTAGTGTGTTCGTTGTTTTGTAATACACTTTAATTCTGTGGTGTTTTAAGATTCTTTGAATTTCTTCTGTTGTGCCATGACGGTATGGTAGAACTACAGTACCAATCCATGGCATTTCATTCGAAACATTATTATAATGTAATAAATTGTTTTGTTTTAATATGCTTCTAATAATCTTCATAGGAAAATTATTAAATTGTAAGGTACTAATTATATTCATTTGTTCTTTTCGTTTGTCTTCCTCTGATGTGATGATCTTGTTAGCTCTTCTAAAAAGATTTAAGGCTAGCGAGATCTTAGCACTGAAAGGATGTGCTGAATGGAAGTCAATATAACGATTTGAATGCGTCGGCTTTCGGTAAATGGATAAGTTTAGACTTCCATTTGGATTTCTTTTTACTAAGCAATCCAAGAATGGTAGCTCACCATGAGCATTTTCATTTTCATTGGTGAATTTGATTTGCGATGAGAGTGTATTAATTCGTTTTTAAAAAGATCTTAGATGAGTCTTTTTTATAACCACAAATGTATCGTCTACATATCTAAGCCAAATTTGTGGTATAATGTTGTGGGCGAAGATATTTGATTCTATGTATGCCATAAAAAGGTTGGCTACAATCGGGGACACGGGGGATCCCATTGCTACTCCGTTAGTTTGTTTGAATAAAATACCGTTAAAAGTAAATAGCGTTGAATTTAAGCAAAGTTTTAATGATTTCATGATTAGACTGATGCTCAACGGACATCTGTCAGGAAGAGTATTGTCGTTCTCAAGTAAACCCTTAATGAATTCTAAGCATTTATCAATGGGAACACTTGTGTATAAAGAAACGACATCAAAGCTTACCATGATTTCATTCTTCTTGATGATTAATCCGGATAATTTTGATTTAAAGTCATATGTGTCTTTAATTATATTATGTAGGTTGAGTTGTAATGGTTTTAATATATTGCTTAAATATTTCGATAGTGCATATGTTGGGGTGTTTGTGAAGTCTACTATTGGTCTTAAAGGAATATCTGGTTTATGAATTTTTGGTAAGCCATAAAACCGTGAGACATTACATGATTTGGGATGCAAAGCAAACCAAAGCGGAACCCCAATGATTGGCTTTAGCTCGTTCAGAAGTTGATTTGTTTCTAATTTGACTTTATTCTTAATCGTTAGAGAAGTTTTTGGATTGATCTTTTCATAAGGTCCTGTTGAGAGATGTTCAAGAGCTTTATTAATATAATCTGTTTTATTCATGATTACTGTTGTGTTGCCTTTGTCGGCTTTAGTGATGATAATTGTTTTGTCTTTTTTAAGTGAATTCAGAGCCTTCAATTCTTCTTTTGAAATGTTTGGGGTAATGTGTTTTTGTTTCGTCAGAATATGGGATGTCTTTTGACGTAGTAAATGCGACTCTTTTTCCGGTAGTTGTGCGATCATAGGTTCTATAATCGGAGCGATTTCAATGTTTGTTTAGTGGATATACATCGTTTTAAAACAACACATAGAGTGAACAGTTAATGATGTGTCTTCTGACAGAGTAATCACGATCAATATATTTGCCATGTTCGTCTGTAGTATATTACTCAAATATTCATCAGGTAAAATCATACTGAGTTCATGTTCACACATGCAAATATTTTTTGTAGACGTAAAATTATAAAGAAAAAATTATTTTTCCATGTTTCAAATCGTAATAAAATTGTATGAAATTTACGTTAAGAATCATGAATAATATTCTTAAAACTTATATTTCTATTTTATTTAAACACATTGTTTGAATAGACATAAATGAATGTATGGAAGGTCTCAGCTCAGGTAGATTACCGTGTGAAGGTGAAGGAACAAGTTGTGAAAATTTACCGGGATCCTACAACTGTTCATGTATTTCTGGATTTTCAATGGCATCAGATGGGACCTGTGTTGGTATGTCGCATATTCGGTTTACTTATAAATTTGACAAACTATCGGTTAGTGTGCTGTTTTAAGGAAAAGTTTTGAAGTACTGTATAATAAATTTATATAGACATATATATAACCTTGATCTGCATTAGTTGTCAAGATACAATCAGCCAATTGTGTAAATCACAAAATTCTATATTCTGTTAGAATTTATTGACCGAAGCAAATATGTTATGTTTGTTAGCATTTTCAGTGGCGACTAGTCGCCAAACACATATTCTAAAGCTATTATTTTAAGCCGTGACCCGTAGAATGCACAATATTGTAATAATATCAAACTGGCGAGGTTAAGTTAGGATCACTCTGTATCATTATTTGGTTAAAGTTCGAAGTTTAGTCCATTGAATTCTAATCCGATGACTGAGTGATATTTTGCTTCACGTTATCCTCGGGCATTCTAAATTTTATCACATGAGGAGTCGTCAGTGTATAGTGCAGATAGATAATAATAGTATTATTAATTAATAATTAATTGATATCAATCTGTCAACAAAAGCCAACTATGGATAAATGAGAAAAACAAAGACACGATTGACCATATTACATATTGCTTAAGTGAAATTGTTTCGAGGAAATATTTGGATAGAATTGACTCAGAATGTACTTTCTAACGAACTAGTGAGTGCTGATTATTCATTAGAATTTTCTTACAGCTGGATAGTTTTATTGATTTTATCAATGGAGAGATCATTATGATTTTGCTAATAGCTAATCGATGCAGAAAACGAGGTCTAAGCAAATCAAACCTATTAATAAGTAATTCATTCAAATAAAGTTATCTCCAAGACACATTGAAGTGCTAGTAGTTTACACTCAAACTAAATAATATTTCTTTTCCAGAAGAATTTAAACCGCATGATCAAGTGTAAAAAAGTCACTCAGTCGTGAAAAAATATTTTGATGAACGTTAATATCATAATACTGAGTTCATCAACATGTTTTTTATGGAGAATTCATTCAGTTTAGTCATAATTTGAACGATTATTCTCTGAAAAAATACAATATTTCATTGATATTGTTATAGAAAATCTTTCGTTCATTGTATCACACACAATGATTTGTCGTATTAATTTCAATATGATGAATGAGTTGAAATAAGTCTTCCAGAAGACGCTTATATGTGCTATGGTTCAGTCTTTATAATATCTTTAAATATTGTTTTGTATGACTTTTGGTCAGACACCTTGTAATATATGTTGGTGGCTTTAAGTTGTGTTTATTTTGTGCTTTACCATGATTCCACATTTAGTTAGTATCTATTTTATCAGTGCTATCTTTTTCTTACTCTATAATCTTCTAACATTTAGACAAAATTTATCTCCTGTATAGAATATTTCCCTCACTCACAGCATTATCATTTACAGTATCCATTTTAAACAGCTTAAGGTTATTTTATATCCACCGAATAAATCCCTCAAACAATGCTATCACAAATTACAACAGGTATCCCATGGTGGTCTAGCTTCAAATGACTCATGATCTCAACTATTGAAATTACTAAAATCTCCACAAAACCCTTTCTGATACTAATCAACATCTGCTCACTAATGACGGACTTCGAGATATATATCCTGGAGTTCTAGTGAGAAGCAGTGACCAGTGGAGTTAAACCGGGTTTGTTGTGAGATAGTGACTCACTGATGACAATGGTGGATATGTGTTAGGTTTGAAGCTTTACGAGTTCACTTAATCTGCGAACGAGAACAAGACTCAGTGACCAAAGACCAGTAATCTAACTACTGATGCGTCCAAGCCCCGCCATCTAGAAGGAGAAGTCCGAGCTTGGTATGGAAAATATATTCTGCAAACAGCCAGAAAACGAGCAAGCAAGCGAGCACTCAAACACAATTTAAAACGTATATATATATATAAATATATATAATCGGTATTGTCATAGTAAAATGTTTTTTTAAACATGACTCATTAAATTCATCAATCGACAGGCATTCAAATATTTACTGGATAAGTTCATCATTTGACTTCCATTCAAATATTTAAATACTTAATCGATAAGTTAATCGATATGATAAAATTACAAATATGAATTTTGGGGATATACCGTCCTAACAATATGTCACTCAATTTCGTGGATTAGTCGAAGTTAGACATTAACACCATTGGATGCCGGCTCAGCGGTCCAGTGGTTAAGTGCTCGCGTGCGAGACTGAGAAGTCCTGGGTTCGAATCTCGCTAGGCGGGATCGTGGATGCGCACTACTGAGGCGTCCTACAATGGGACGAAACGGCCGTCTAGTGCTCCCAGGTGTTCTTTGATGGTCTAGTTTCAATTGACTCATGATCTCAACTATTGAAACATGATATTTGTTTGATTTTCTACCATTTGATTAATCCATATTCATTAGTTACTGGATTAATACATGTCTACTTTGATCATAAATATTGAAGAATGAAATCTCATTCCTGTATAGAAGTGCATTCAGTTAGTGATTTTAAAACAAAATTGAAAATTTATCAAATAACATACTATTTATCATGGTTATCAATGTTTTATATTATTTAACTTCTATGTTATTTAACTGTCATAAAAGGTAACAGTAAATAAATAAAAATTTCATTTAAAATTTAAAAACCTAACTCGTTTAAATTAAATTTTGAAAAAAATAATTTTTCACTTGGATACTATTTTTTTCAGTTAAAAATTTAATCTTTTTAAAGCTTGAAATTCAAATATTCTATTTGAACGCTTTATTTCTATAACAACTATAACAGAAAAATATCATAAACATTGACATTGTAGTTTTCCTTGTTTAACTGTCAATATTTTTATGTAATTTGACAGTTTTAGATCAAATTGCTCTATTCACTTTTACTTTTTTTGTTTTATAAATTAAGCTTCATAAATTTAGTAGAAAATATTTTAATTAACTATGTTTTTATAACTAGAATAAACTAACTTCAAGAGGAAGGTATATTTTATACGAGATTATATTTGAATTCAGTATTCAAAAAGATAGTTGCGTTTTTTTTGAAAATTCAACTAGTTTTTTTCTTTTATTCCAAATAAATATCTAATTTTGAAATTAGAAAAAAAATTGAATGAAATGACAGTTTACATGTATGTGCGGAAACACGTACATAGGGAGCAGCAACCATGATTTGCAAATAAGGGTGGGTGAACACATACTAAAAATGGCTGCGGAAACAAATATATTCCAATGGTCAAATAAGATTATAGGATAGACAGACATCATCCTCTATTACGAAATATTTGATTGAGACTAGTTATAAGGTTGACATGAAGTCAGTACTTGTAGTGTTGTACAAAAGCATTCAACGACGTATACTATGGTTTATTGGAGCCTTGATTATAAGGAAACTGAAACCCTCTTTATGCGTTCAAAAACAATTTGTCCTTACCCTTGACAATACCTTGGTAATACTGATTTATTATCCAGAGTGGGTATCACATTGTTTTTGTGTACTTTATTTTTTTTTCTTTGTTACGGCTTACCTTGAACCTGTCTAGTTAACCTTTTAATTTTCCTATAAAAATTTCTTAACAATTATATGTGTAATCAGATTGTTGGAAATGTAATGTGCAAGTATATCACATAATCCTGATAAACTTCGTCCTCTCATTGGATTATCGAAATGACAACAGACAAAAAGGCTTAGTTCTTTCCTAGTAATTCTAAATTAATATCTATTAATGTCATGGTAATTATTTTCTATTTATGTAATACAATAAGTGTTCAATCACTTAGCATTTATTTTTAAAATTAAAATAAATTTTATTATTAAATTGAATTAGATATTAATGAATGCACATCATTGTACAATCCTTGCCTTGCTGGTCAACAATGTCGAAATTTAATTGGTTCATATCAGTGTATTCGTGAGGTCCCATGTGGTTACGGTTATGTATTAAATCCTAGAACTCAACAATGTGAAGGTAAGAATTGGGAAAAACATGCTCCTAATAAGTGCTTTTTCACAATTTTACTTAATATCCATCCGCAAAAGTACTTTTTTCTTTTTTAGGAAACAATAAAAATGAAGACTGATTATTCGCATTGATTTTTGTAATAGATATTCCAACAGCCTAGTGAATAATGATAAACTATCGCATCAGTATGTTATTTATTCGTTCACTCCATAAATTTAGACTGAAGGCTTCTTCAGCGTTTATGTAGCATAGACAGAAAATGTGATTCATGACTAGTTGTGAACCTAACTCTACTGGTACTAAGTTCAATTTGAATTGTTAATAATAATACTGAAAAACAAGTACGCTTGACTAACAGGTCCCAAATAAAATAAATCCTATCCCGTGGCTTCCATCATTTGGTATCATTAAGAATATAACCGATTTGTAATTACAGATAACATTGACAGATCTGTTAAAGGATCCAATAATATCGACAAAGACTGCTCAATTGAATGATAAATATTTACAACAAGAAAATAGAAATTCTTACGATTCATAATATGTTCTTGAATCTATTTACCGACAATATTCCTTTTGATTGAATGGTTTCCTAACCAAGCAGTCATTGTGTTAGGAACGGTTAGACTTCTGTATATTTTCGTTGAAAATATTTTACTTCAGCCCTTGATGTAAACTAAACAACCGATGGAAATGAATGAGCAGTAGACAACTGTTTTTAGTAGATCTGGAATGATTATCTGTCTGCACCTACGTTCTAGAGTGGGATCACACTAGGAGAACTATCTTCGAATAGGAAAATCTCCAGAAACATTATTTTCTACCGATAGCTTTTTACATTATTCTTTAACAGCATCATTGTTTTCCTCCCATTTATATTTGTGCAAATATTTTTCTATCCTTAGATGTTGATGAATGCAAAGTCGATCCACTTATATGCGGTAAAGGTATGGCATGCATAAATGTTCGCGGAGGTCATAAATGCGTTGATTATCATTGCCCTGGAAATGCAAAGTATGCTGGTATATATTTATATATAATATATAGTTATTTAGATTGTTTTTACATTAATGAAACTTGTCCTTAGTTGAAAAATTAAGAAACATAGTCTCAAGAATAATGAGTATTAAGAAACAAAACAGCTGACCTGGAAATACAGTGGCACATACAAAATATTAAACTTGAAAACTAACAGGATTGAAAATTAATTACAACGTAAGCCATTGTAAAATGTTAGTTTTGTTAGGCTATAAATGGTCCACGAAAATACGTCTTAACAGCCGACAGCATTTCAAGTCGTAACTGTGTTACTGTACCATAGTATAGTGCATTGTACTGCCTCTGTTTTAGTCAGAATGAAGGTTGTTGCTGATTAAAAGAATGTCTCATGAATAATAAAGAAATATGAAGCTAAACTGTATTTAAGAATTATTTTAAACATGTTCTTATTGGTATATTAAGTCAGTGAATTTTAAACGTATTTTCAAAAATTATATTCCTAATTGTATTTTCGCGTTTTTATTATTAATACATTCCTTGAAATCTTCTCTTTTGAAAACACTAAATTACAGACGAAACAAAATTGGTGATTGCGTTCCATGTCCTACAGGATATGTATACAATGCCTCGAGCGGAGTATGCGATGGTACGTACTAATTTGTTTAATATATAATTATTAGGTAAAAAGTCAATGTGTCTTAACAGTAGTTCAAACGAAAAAGATTTATATTGTACATAATTTGTATAGTTTTAATAGCTTTCATTTTGAGATTATAAGTTAGTAGTGTCGAACAAAAAATCTTTAAATAATACATGAACCACAGTGATCCTCACATTGTACAATATCTGAGCCATGATACTATATAAAAATGATTGATAGTAATTAAAGACAGTCAACACCAATGTAATATATACTATTCTCTAGCAATACTTTTCTAATGTAAATTTCAACAGAATTAAATGTGAAATGTGCATATACTTAAGTGCGCGACATGTAATATTAGATAGTCTGGGAGTAGATAGTAAGTAGGCAAACTAGTGGAGGCTAAACTAAGATACAATATTAGCTTATGTATACGATAACTCTTTTCTGTATGTTCTATAATGGTCATATATATATATATATATATATATATATACTACTTTCACGATAAGGTTAGACACACTTAAGTAGAAGTTTTGATCTTCAGTGTCTGAGTAGTTTATGTTCTGGTAAGTGGCTATGAACAAAAGAGTGCATGCTTCAGAAAGAAATGTTTCAACTTATTTCATCATCAGGTTTAATAGCAGTATGTCTGTAGACTAGTGAGGACAGAAGAAACTCCTAGTTTACGTCCAGGATGAAAGATAACAGTCCCCAAAGGTAACTGAAACCCTTCGCACTTGTCAAGATTCATAATAGTTTCATCTCTTTTCCAATCAGATAGGTTATGTTACTCGTTTATGAGAAATGCCTAATTTATAAGGCATCTTAGTTAATCCATAAGATCCTGTTTTTCTGCAACTACTAACCTTAGCATTATATTGAAGTAATCTTACCCTATCGATTATAATTTGTCATCTTCGAGTGTAATTCTAGCTCATCTTTAACATTATATTCCAACTTTATAATCAGGTTTTATAAGTATTTGTGTCATAAAAAATGTGAACACTATTATTTTTATTGTGGAACTGACTAATTTTATCATAAGTTTTCATATATGCTTCATATTGGCTACTAAAATGCAAAGTTTATAGATTTAATGCTGTACAGTTTGTAAATGAAGTCATTTAGACTGATTGTTCACCCAAACACTTTTAGTATTTTAATAATTTACTGTAACCTATAAGCATCTTTATGCCTACTTCGATAACCATAACACTGAAGTTAAACTATTAGGTTTAAGTTTAATGTAAAACAAGTATTTAATAATCATTATTATACATTGAACAAACTAATATTGGTTACATTTTTATTTAAAACCTGTAACTAAATAAAAGTGCACTTATTATTATGCCAATTAGATCATGTATCTTTATTATTTTTGTGTATATGAGTGGTAAACAATTTTGATTTGTTGTAAATATTTAATTATTTACAAATATATTCACGCAGTACATGGGTTGACATTAAGCCCACGGCAATTAAGAACTTCAAATTAAGAACTTCATTTCTGCACAAATGCGAATCTCGAACTACATAATGACAGTAAGTTGATCTTTCATAATTTGTGATAGCGGACTTCAACGCTTCAACCGATGGGAACGCAACGAGAAACAAGGTTGTCAAAAGGAGTTCCTCCATTTCTGTTACGTGAGAAACAACAGCACTTGTACTCGGCACGTTACTCTCCTCCATAATGATGATTAAAATGTACTTCGTCGACAAGTGCTGATGTTTTATAACAATTCGACAAAACATAACTAACCAATTAAAACGAATTTTGAAACTAGCCATTTCATTGGACGAAACGGGATGAAAAATATTGCAATTTTGGGTTGAAAAAACATTTTTAAAAAGGGTGGGTGGGGGGTTTTTAAAAAAAATTGCCGTGGGGCTAATGAATTTCCAGTACATGTTTTGACCATCTAATGATTTCGATAGAACAATGAGAAGACGGAGTTGATCTGAAAAATGTGATGTATTTGCGCTATACATTTCGAACAATCTGGTCACACATATACTTGTCAAGGCATTTTTATATGAAAATTAATAAAGGTCAATAAAGGTCAAACAAACAAATAAAAGTACAACTAAAATAACTAAGGGGGGAGAAAGAATAAGAAATTGTCGCGTTATCCTAGGCCATAGAATGACTTAAGGATTACCAAGGTAAATTCAAGGTTACGACAAATTGTTTTTGTACACATAAGGGGGGTTTAAATTTACGAATAGCTAAGGCTTCAATAAACTTAAGAATTCGACCTTGACAATTTCTATACAACATTCTAAATGCTGTATTAATGTTAATTTTGTGCCCCGTCTCAATTATGTGTTTTGCTATTGATGAACTTGGTTTTCTACCTCCTACATTGATCGGATCATTTGACACACACTGATTTTGAAGCCATCTGGGTACATGTTCATTGACCCTTGCTTGCATTGTTCGATTACTCCTCCCTATGTATGTGTGTCCACACAAACATGTAAATTGGTAAATACAATGGGATGTGACGTAATCATTAGTGCATTGTTTGGGTCTATTATGAATCATGGCCTTAGACTTTTCAATCACTACCAACTGAGCAGCATAATATGTATTCTCAATGGCTGCTTTCAATCTGTGCCTTAAAACAATACTGTTTGATTCGCCTCTATATGGTAGATTGATGTAAACCTTTTTCTTTGGCACTGAATAAATTAGAGGTCTTGGCATTAACTGACTTTTGCACCTATTAATAAACTTGAGTGGATAACCATTTGCTATTAAAGTGTCAGTCAGTAACTTTTCGTCTTTTTCCACCATATCAGAGGTACATATTCTTTTAGTCCTCTTAAAGAGGCACTTAACTAGACCTCTCTTGTATTGCAATGGACAGAAACTATGGAAATTTAGGTATTGTCCCGTCCAAGTTGGTTTCCTATACACGGACCGTCTAATAGTGCCATCATCCCTTCGACTTAAAAGTATGTCTAGAAAGGCTAATTGGCCATTACTTTCTGGTTCATGTGTCATTACAATATCATTTTGAACACTATTGAGTTTATCCAGTAATCGGTAAACATCAAAATCCTTATCACATATAATTAGAATATCGTCCATATATCTTCTATATAGTGTTGTCTCACCAATGAGGTCGCTCGTCATATTTTCCACATATGACATGAATACCTCAGCTAAGAGAGGCCCTAAAGGGCTACCCATAGCTACACCATCAACTTGTCGAAAATATTCACCATCAAATGTAAATTGAACATTAGCTGTACATAATAAAAGTAAATCTTTCAAAAATGGTGACGGAATAGGAAAAAGGGGAAAGTTTTTTGAAATATAGTCACAAAGGAAATCCACCGTCTTTGTTAACGGTACATTCGTGAAGAGGGAGTTAACATCAAATGAATGCAAAGATTTATCTTTAATATTAATATCACCAAGAAAGTCAATTAATTCAAATGTATCTTTTAAAGAGAACTTACATAGATTAGTACGAATAGGGTTTAACAGTTTTACTAACCATTTAGCTAGCTCGTGTGTGGGAGAACCACGCATAGACAAAATTGGTCGTAATGGAATATTAGGTTTATGAATTTTAGGTAATCCATATAAATTCGGGAGAACTGAACCCGAGGGTTTTAGTATATTAAACTCCTCGTTGTTTATGACGTTCATTTTAAGAAGCTTTAATAGATTGGACTTCACTCTGGATTCCAATTTTCTAACATTAATATTAGAAGAAACGTCCTGTAAGAATTTACTTTGATCACTCAGTATAGATAACATTTTGTCTTTATATTCACATTTATTGATAACGACCACCCCAGAACCTTTGTCAGGTCTGAGGATCACAATATCTGACCTACTTTGGAGGTTTTTTAACGCAGCGGAATGTTTAGGAGTCAAGATACTTCTTTGTCTGACTTGAGATCCATGAAAGTGGTGGGCAACGTCAACCAATTTCACCTTTAACCAATTTTTCCTATCCAGGGTGGTTGGGACAAGAGGGTTCAACTGATCATAAAGATTTTCAAATTGAGCATCTATCGACAGATCAGAAATCTTGGTATGTGCAACGGAAAAATTAAATCCGAGTGATAGAGCTTCTTTCTCGAATACAGAAAGCCTAACAGTTGATAAATTTGATACATATTTATCCGGGTTAAATTGAAATAAATTTCCATCATTATCATACATAAGCGATTTACTCAGCTTTTGTTTAGTAGTATGATTTGTTTTAGCAACCACAGTACTGCAAAAATTCATAAATTTAATACGACATACAAGAGAGAGATTAGATAATACGCATGATGCCTGAGTATGAAGTTCAATTAGTTTATTCAACATATCATTACATTTTTCCTTATGAGATTTCGCCAGACGCAAAAGATTAGACACATTTGGTTGTAACTTATTAGATCGTAAGACTTTATAGAGATGTCTTGGAAATATGTGTGTACTAATGCAAGTTTTGTAAAACTCCAGTTTTACCTTTTCCGATGCAATTTTGCACTTCAGATTAGCAAGTTCATCTAACCGTTTAGTGCAAGACGAAGGGAGTCTTCTTTTGTTTAATCAATAAGAATCTTTTATATTTACAATAATCTAACACATTTTGATCATCATATAATTCGGGCGGCCAAACCAAAACGTGGCGTGTATGCTTGAAGTCATTAACTTCTGGTCTGAGCCATGTTGGTAAATATAGACTATTCGGTTGGGTCCGTGTGACTATCATAACCAATGGTTGGAGAACTTGGGTGACATGGCTCAGAACCGATCACAATATCGTAGGTGTATACACACTTTGTCTTCCCTCAAATTGTAAGACTAAAATTGCTTTACACCTTTCTTTCTACGAACTAATTCTTTCTTCCTGTACTATATCCTTATTGCAATCTTTCTTTTATATATTACCACCTCTGAATTAACTACTTTTATGAATCCGGTGTCCATCTTGTTGTGTTAATGAGGTATAGCAACTTGGACCGATGTATATATGTACTTGGTC